GGAAACAGAAAATAGGCTAAGAAATTTAAGAAAAAATCATTTTTATCCAATAGAAGTTGAAATTTCCGTCTTAATAACATTATGTCTAATATTATTAAATACATTAAATGCTTTTGCTTTTTAGTAGCATCGAATTTCGAAGGGTGTTCTAATTAATAACTAATTTAGTGAACACATGTTATTCAAGAACTATCAATATTGTTTCTCAGTTACTCTTCAGATCATCCATTTATTAAAATAAAATTATTTATGTCAACGATTAATACCTTCTGCTTAAGTCTATTTGAAGATTAGATATTTCCATATACATCTGTAAACAAACCAGAAGTAATCTTAGATATCTGAACTTGTGATTTGCTTTTTGAGCTTTTAGCAAAAGTGAAAAAAGGAAATCACAAATATGTAAAATAATTTTAACCATGATAAAACTACACAAAGTAGCTCTTTAAAATTAGCATTTGTTTACGTTCTTTACAAAAGCTTTGTTCATAATTGCTTTCGTGTCCTACAAATATCATTTTTTCATGATAATCTTTCTACACATTCCAATCAAAACAATGATTATTATGATTGTAAACAGGGTGGACAAGGGGTTTACTCTCTAGCGGACTTGAAGATTTACATTTGTAATTCATTAAGACAAATTTGCATACAACAAAATTTTAGTTAATCTATTATATGTAGAAACTTATAATATTCATTTGTGCTTTTATAAATGAAACTTAAAAAAAAAGGCTATACATGTTTAATTTGATTAATCGAAGGAGTTTTCATAAGATGATTACTGTACACTAGCGGGCAAGCCCACCAGATGAACGGAATGCGGCCAAACCAAATTTATAAGTTCTATATACATCTGGAAAAGAAAATGAATAAAAGCATTTCAATATGAATAAATCAGTCCATTCTTTCCAAGGAACAACCAATTCGTAAATATTCTTTTGCTATCAAACCAGGAAAGAGAAACTGTTAACACTTCAGGTTAATGCGTATACATATGACATCATGATTCAAATTTAATGCAATATAACAATTTTTTCTCAATATAAATAAAAGAATTAATGTAACATTAACATATCGTATGAATTAACCTGACCTGAAATATATTTGTCAAAAAAAATCTGAAAGGTTTCAGATTTTAAATTACGTTCAAAGGGGCGTCTTTTTTAACGTTTTGTGTGTTATCTTTATTTATTAAATACCATGTTCTTTGCACTTAAACCGTAAAATTCGGTTCAATAGAAATCGCTCAAATTGAACTGACCTTCTGATCTTATATGCGAGAGGCTCATCACTCAATCTCAAGAGAATTTTTCTCTCGTCTGATTATTGCCATGATATGCTCAGCTACTGCCGTTCAGGAAGATCTCCCAAGCAAACAGAGAAACAACAGATGGACAGACTCGTGCAGAATTTAATAGTATAGATTACCTCTAGCCATTTATGGAAATTTAATAAATTTATTTTTATAGTGAGAATTATTCATGTTTAAGTCTGACTATGTATACAAACAGGTTCGCGAATCTTATGAATTGAAGATTCACCGTTAGGCGAATCTTATGAATTGGGCTTAATTAAACCAATTTATTGCTTATACTCATAAACAAGAATTTGAGATAATTGGAAATTATACACAGTCGCTGATAAGAAAGGTGAATTCTAGCATTTTTATAAAATTTACTAACTTCATTTTGGTACTTCAGGTAGAACTGAGAAATTTCGTTATACTTATCGAACTCACCAAGATAATTGAAAGTTATACATAATTTCCAGCGTTTATTCATTGGATTAATCATTTTTACCCATAATGTATGTTCATTACATTAGGAGAATGGCACAAAGACATAAATTAATAATGTATAAGAATAGACTTTTTATATTAGTAAATGTCCATTCTTATACATTATTAATTTATATCAGCAAGTTATTTTATTTGAATACACTGTTCTTGGACATGTGCTTTTAAATGTAAAGTTTATAATCTAAATTTAGATATGTGTTCTATTTGAATGATATTAAATATTCGATGTATTTAAATGGCTAAATGTTCTGACGAAGTGTAATTTAGATAACAGAAACTATCAAAGAAGGTAACAGCATTCCATATAAAAATGTTTTCATAGGCAAACTTTTAAGCTACAATCTGCAGAAACACAAGAGTTCAAAAATATGACACTTTTAAAACTTCTCCATTCCAATTCAGCGCACTTCTTCAGCAGTATATCAAACACGTTCCTGGAACGTTATTGATTGCAGCAATTAAACCTCACTTGCAACTGCTGTTATCTGCTGTTACGCCTCGAAGTTTCTGACGTAATTCAGAGAACTTAGAGAAATATGTGACAGACGTCTGAAACTTGCTTTTACTTCAAGAAATTCTCTTGTACATTTAGCGCAGAAATGAAAGCGAAATCGTACAAGATCCAGTCTGTTAAAGTTGGAAAAACAACTTAAGGAAGATATAGAATACTTAAGAATTAACAAAGAATTAAATATCTTTTTACTGCTGATCTTTATCCTTGACAGAAATATTAGATAGCATAAAATTTAATTAAATCTTTAAATGTCTATTAAAATGGTATTGAAAAATATTTTCATTTCCAAAAGCGTAAAATTATCAAAATACTTTGAAAAGTGCGGTGCAAGTATAAAATGCATCGAGCAAAATGTTTAATAAAATATTTGTCGTATTATGATGATATTTCAATGTCCAGAAACTTTACGCATTACCACATATCTGTTATTTATCTGTCCATATCTATATCCATCTATCTATCTATCAATCTATCCAAATCTATATTTATATCTATCTATCTATCAATCTATCCAAATCTATATTTATATCTATCTATCTATCAATCTATCCAAATCTATATTTATATCTATCTATCTATCAATCTAATCCAAATCTATATTTACATCTATCTATCTATCCATCCATACCTATATCTATATCTACCTCCTACAGGTGTTTCAGCAATGAGGTGTTTCTTACAGGTGTTTTAGTAATGCAAATGAGGTGTAGCGATCTTGCTGACCAATGAATCAGACCACCTCTGCTGATCCAATGTTAAGCATATGTTGTGTTCAGGTGGAGACGAATATCAAGGCTGTTAATGTAAAAATCAAGGATATGCAAAAATTTAACTTTTAACTTTTTTTAAAAAATATTACGTAAACGGTGACCTTTCTCTTGTTTCAATGCTCAATAATTTTTTTCAAGATTTGCAAGATTGCAAGATTGCTAAATTTCATCAAAATCGGAATAAAACTGCATATTTGTATTAAACCAATTTAAGGGCTGACAAATCTAAATTTCTACAGCTCTTGATAAATTAATGAAAATTTTAGCTGCCGAGTTGTAAAATCGTGGAACATTGGTAGTTCTGACCTGGCTTGAATTCAGGCGAACGGTCTTCCTTTCCCTTAGGCAAATAGCCCTAGTGGGATTTGCCGTAATAAACCAAACCAAATCATATGGGATTTTCTGAGCTAATTATTGAGAAACATTATTAACCAACATTTAACCAACATTTTAGCTGCACTGAGCATAATAAGCATGTTTTCTCACCCTGTTAGTGTTCATCCTTTCTTGTATTTTGTATCTTCACTACCGTGCCAAGAAAGCGTTTCCGACTATGCTTGCTGTGTGATTTTCCCTTCTCTAGATGTACTCTATCTTTCCTAAAAGTTCGTAATCGAACTGCTGAAACACTCGCTCTCTCTCTATATATATACATATGTACATTTCAACGACTAGCACAATTTGCCTGTTAATATAAATTTAAATTTAAAATTGTGAGAATTTAAAATAACACAAACATGGGATATTTATGATCATAGTAAGTTACATCTTCTAGGTATTTAAATTTATTTTAATCCTAATGTTTAAAAGCGGATATATTCCAAAAAAGCGAAACATGAAAATATGAAAAAAAAAAGAATTTGCATACAAAAATATCTACTCTTAAAACTTAGATACATCTATATGTAAATCACTATCTTACTTAATGTATGTTTAAATAATATGCATCTGCTTCAGAGCTGATAGCGGGAGTGGTAAAACGGTGATGTGAACCTGAGATGGGTGACATGATTTCAACATTAAAACTGTGTAGAAGTATCAATATTTATTTTTTGTAAATTTCTGGCACAAAATGTTTGATTTCGAATGATAGCGGGAAGGCAACAATGGATATTTAAACCTAAGATGGGTCGAGTAACCGCAACCTTCGAATATAAACGCCCTGAGAGTGGAATCCGTGGTTTTTAAAATATTACGTAAACGGTGACCTTTCTCTTGTTTTAATGCTCAATAATTTTTTTCAAGATTTGCAAGATTGCAAGATTGCTAAATTTCATCAAAATCGAAATAAAACTGCATATTTGTATTAAACCAATTTAAGGGCTGACAAATCTAAATTTCTCCAGCTCTTGATAAATTAACGAAAATTTTAGCTGCCGAGTTGTAAAATCGTGGAACATTGGTAGTTCTGACCTGGCTTGAATTCAGGCGAACGGTCTTCCATGAAGCCATCCTTTCCCTTAGGCAAATAGCCCTAGTGTGATTTGCCGTAATAAACCAAACCAAATCATATGGGATTTTCTGAGATAATTATTGAGAAACATTATTCATTTTCGAATTAGCATAAGAAAATCAATACTAACCTAAAATTGAAAGAAAATCAATTTTACTTTTTTCCCAACTAAATATTCTAGTGCGCACAGGAAACACTAAGCAATGTGTTGTAGATAAATAAAAATACTATTAAAGTGACAGTATATTACAAATGCCAAAAGTTAGCTAAATAAATTAGTTATATCATGGTACAAAAATAAACTAGCTTGGTAACATAATCAATATGAGAAGTTGTTTTGTACATTTTGTACATTAAAGTTTTAAAACTCTGCGATATTTCTGTTGATCTATTTTCAACAAACTTGTGGTAGATAAAGAATTAACGCATAAGATGAAAACGAAAGAAAACTCGTTAACTTACCATACAAGCGTATAGTGCCTTTCGTTTCTCCTAAGGAATTTTTGGCCACGCACGTGTATGCTCCAAAATCTTCTGGGTTCAAGTTATGAATTATCAGCTTCATCTGAACTTTATAACTCCCGGACACAATATCTAAACTATCAAATTTAGTTCCAGATGAAACTATGTGGACATGTTCTTTAGTCCAGAAAGTGACAGCTCGAGGATGAAGTTCAAGGTTGCAGTCAAGTGTTATATCACTTCCCAGTGGTGCTCCGATAAGCTGATTAGGGATCCAAACCATAGGAGGAACTGAAATAAAATATTTAGACTTTTCGTAATAAATGGCAAATCAAATATTATTTCATTTAGTCCAGAGTACACATTATACGCAAACGTTCGTTGATATTTTTTTGCTTTTCACCCTTCCTTTTTCTTCGCCATTTTTTAGTGCTATGAAAATGCGTCCTAGGGATTTGCCAAACACAGAAGAAGATGCAATTTTATTTTTTCAAAAGAGAAATATTTTACCAAAAAAACGAAAATGTACCAATTCGTATGATATGAAACTTTATTTTGGTAAGCGTACGTTTCGGAAATGTAATTTAAGACAGTGTGATCAGCAAGTGGGACTTAGAAAAGACAAACAAATAGAAGAGTACATGTTAAAGTTAATCATAAATACAATTTTATTGATCTTGATACAGGATTTCAAACACAAACAGTTGAGAGAATGTGAGGCAGTGCTAAATGGGGGACAAGAGACATAGGGGGACAGCGAGATATCATTTAGAATCTTATTTAGCAGAGTTTATATGGCGTCAGCATCAGGGCAAACAAAAATAGGGACTGTTTTGACGGCCCATTTTCCACCGAAATCCGATTGACTACTTTGATTTTAAATAAAGTATTTTGATTTTAAATAAAGCGTTTTAATTTATAATTTGTTGCACAAATTTTATGTGTAGATTGGTGGCATATAAAAACCGCCAAATCTGCAGCTGCGGTGCCGTTAATACGTAAGTACCATTAAATTATAAATTTGGATATTTTTCAATATTTTCAGGTACTGTATCAGTATTTTTGTGTGTTAACACTTCGTATACATTTTTTAAATAAATATACCAGAGGAGCTAGAAGTTAAACAAAACTATTGAACATTTGTTTCAACTCCAAGCAGTAACAATTTTTTCAGATGAAAATACCTTGATAAAATCATTTGGATGCTTTTATCAATTTACATCCCAAATATTATCCCAAATAGTACAGTGAATACATACTGTATATATATATAAACTGACAAGACTTAACACTCTTCAGACATGCACATAGATCAGCTGATTTCCATCTGCGGCGCACCCATTCATCTTTGGTAATATATAAGATGAAGAGTTGATCTCGTCGTATTCAATTCATGAAAGAAAGCAAACTGTTTTCAAGAAGGGTTTCACATGCTGTTTTTGTTTAAATGATGAGCGACGTTGGAAAGATGGAGATAAGAACACGTTTCTCTTGCATTGTTTTGTAATAGTGGCTACCAGTTTCTGTCCGCTGGATGGCCAGTTTAAGCTGTATTTTGGAGCAGTGAGCTACACAACATGTTATGCCCATATTCAGAAATTCTATCGACAATTGTAAGTTTTGTTAACTTAGTCACATGTCGCAAACAACAACGTCATGGGCCATTTGCTGTCTGCAGACTCTCAATTAGCCATAATATATCTGTTGTAACGTAATCAATCTAACCACAACCTTCGCCTACTTTCGTTATAATCAGCTGAGAATTAATGATAATAAGCATTTATTTGTACACTAGCAGTGCACAGAAATATCTTAGTGAATTTTAATTTACATAATCAGAGACAAGCTTACTTACATGGAAAATGTTTCCAATTAAATAGCGAAGAACTTGGAAATAAAAATGCGAAAGAATACAAATGATTTAATGTGTGTAAAAGTTAGTTGCGTCATTCTTCCTGGAGTGTCATCATTCCATATGTTCCTAATACTGTGACAAAGTTTAACGCAATAAGAACGTCTCTGGAGAAAGTTTTTATTTTTAGGATGAATACGTTGTGTGAAGGAAAAATAAAGTATTGAGTTATATTGTTTTAGTATGTGAATATTATGTAGCAAGTGTTCTTACTTGCTACGCAAAAAATTTGAAAAAAAATTGAAAATTACTAAGAGAACAACTTTTATGATAGTTAGAATAGTAATGCTTTGGAGATTCAAAATAAAGTTTTATTTTTATCAAAGTCATATGCCAATAGCAAATTTTTGTTTTCAACTGATATCATAATTAACTTACCCTCAGCACTACCACATTCCAAATAAACAATTCAGTAATCAAGTACAACCGCAAACAATTAACCCAGCTTCCACAAACAAAGTAATTTAGAATTATTTATATTGCAACATGCTTACATATATATTTCTATAATTACAGACATACATATTTATTTCTTTAACTCAATTTTAAGGTTTCTCTAAATTCCAAGTTTACATCACATTTCATAATAACTTACCTAATTTTGGAACTAAGCACCATTATTGATATTCAAAAATGGAGATTTGCTTCTCCTCTCTGCATACTAGGAATGGGTAAACGGTACTTAATCAGCAGAATTCAACAGGTCACGCATAAATTCATGGTCTTAATTCGCAATCCCTGTCGAGAGAAAGGTCTGCACTGATAGCCAGTGAATACATCACACGAATTATCAGATAATCATCCTAGTCAGAAGCCGAGACTTTACACCATATAAGGACAGGAATTTTCACGCTCACGTCCTTCTTCGTCATCACTTACCATTTATCAGTCTCGAACACCATTTTGGTTGATCATCGTTCACTTAGTCATAAATTCAGTATTTAGCTGCTCCCAACAAGTCGTAGATAGAAACACTGCATACGGATCGTCGCATAACCGTAATAAACGGAAGATAATATTCTAAGTCACCTGGTCTGGAATTTGCTCGATAGCGTTCTTTTTTCCCTTACTAAATAAATGTTTCGAACAGACTTTTTGTCGATATTTATTCAAGGGTTAATGCAATCTATGTTTCGTTACGTTACGCATATCTTAATAAGAACACAGCACAGATAATCCTTCCATTGTTACCATGGCTTTACATGTTCAAGTCCTTCACTAAATAATTCGGTTGAGAGCTGATCATCATTTACGAGGCTAATGGATATATTCCTTAGATTTCTCTTCAGAATCATTACATCACTTCCCTGGTATATGTCTTATGTTCCGACACACATTTCTATCAGTTAGCATTTACACTTCTTTCTTCCTTTTTTTGTTTCTTCTTAATTTTGCTAAACACTTCAGAATACCCATTTGTCAGAATATCTTCTTCATTCTCGCTCTGTTTTCGCCGCTGCATCTTTTGCTTTTCTCATCAAACCAAACAAAACACTTTTTTACAGTATCCTTCTTATTCAATCCCTGGTTTAATTATTAATTAAAAATCATCTTCTGATGAAACTACGCCTCACTTGAACTTAATTGTTCCAGTTACCCCATAAATTTCACAAATCAATCATAGCCAAGCAAAAATTAAATTTATGCACCGCACCTTTCTTCAGTTTTGCCATGAGAGAAGAGACACAAGCATATCAATGACTTTCAAAAGTCATACCGGCAGGAATCTTTTAAAAAATAATAGCCTAGTAGACAGTCTCTCTACAATTTTGTTCCCTGAACAGTCCAAAGACCATTTAAACAAAAAGAAGTTCGTCATATTTCAAGTTATGCCAATTTTTGAAGCGTCTGGCATCACTGAGCTCCTACAACAAATTTGTTTGCAATATTTTAAAACTTTGAATTCTAGGCTTTCCGGCAAGACGCCTATTATTTCAAAGCAATATCGGTTTTTCTAAGCAGCCACTGCGGCTCACTTTACTAATTAAGGCAGCAGAATGTATTCAACCTCTCTATAGCTGGCACAGAAATCGAATTGATATCATTATTCACGATTTGTTTGTATTTCTACTGGCGTTATTAAATTGTACACTCATATCCCAATTACTGATGCATACTATCATGGAATGGAAGAAGATTTAAAATACAGCCTAAAGTCAGATCTCTATATAACATTCCTCCGGGACTAGAGGAATTTGTTTTTCCTGTACGAAATCAGAAGGAAAAAACTTATATGTCATGCACAGAAACTTTAAAAAATAACTCTCGTTACTTCCATCCAGCAGGTATAGCTAAAACGCACTAGTCTTGGTTTACATAAATTAATAAACAACTACATAATGCGCATGGATTATGAAAATAATGCTACATTTAAGGCAATGCATTTCATTCCTCAGTACTGTGTGAATCAGCGACGAAAATATAAATGCGCATATAATTGCTGCAACTGATTTTTAAGAAAAACAGCATTATACTGTTATGCAATCTTCTTTATTATCTGAAATTTATTTTTTAATTTTTTGTTTCGAAGAGACACAACAAGCACAATAAATGACTTTAGGAACTTTAGAGAGAAATAGTAGATTGTTTTTATATATACAAGTACGCATCAGGATCCAGAAACCCTAGTTTATATTAACTACACAAAATTTCCCCCAATTAAATGTCTGTTTACATACCTTCCTGTTCTTACTTCGGGCACTTGAACTGTCTCAAGTTCAACAACGTCTGTTTAACTTCACTGCCCTGAAGTATGATTAGGCAGTACAGTTTCGCGGTTTTCCCCATGTGTAACTTGTATACGAGTCAGTGTCCCTTCGAAAGTCCTCCACGAAGGCATCCCTCCCTTTATACAGATGGACCTCAAGGCTTTGTTGTAATCACATAAACCAACCAATCATTTTTACTCGGTTACTGAGAGCAATCATTAGACAGTGACTGATGAAAGTAATTATTATTAGTTGTGAAATAAGTCATTAGATATGACTGGTGAATGCAGTCCTTTTTAGTTGTGAAAGCAGTCATTAGACAGTGACTGGTGAAAGAAGTCACTAGACAATACCGCAAAAATCCCTTTTAGGTTCTATGCACTGAACATAAGTTTCCCTCTGAGAAGGTGGTGTGTCCTCACATTTAGGTGATACGCGGCCAATTCACCTGTTTAAATTGCAGGGAGAAATAGTAGAAGGACAAGTGAAAGTATCAGTTTAGATTACATATATTCAGTTGCTTTGCGACGAATCTTGAAGTACCGCTAAATGTGTCATTTGCTGCGAGAAGCGTTAACACACTAGGTCAATGACTTAGTATGTTAACATTAAGTCATTGACTTAGCGTCACATTAGGTCAATGGCTTAGTGTGTGAATTAATAATTATTTT